ATTCTAAAGCGCGGAATGCGAAAAGTTATTCAAAGTTAGTCAAAGTTAGTCACAGTTATTCCAGGACGATTTGGGACCGGTCCCAGAGCGGAGAGCACGTCGCCCGCTCGACTGGCCTCCCCTCGCCAAACGAAGCACGCGGCAGAATGCACCGCGCACGCGATGCGATCGATTGCCAGGGGCGCACCCTGAATCAAACGCGCTCTGATGCGATCGCAGACTGGTGCAGCGTGCGCCGACACGAGGCCGAGCGCACTCCTCAAGAAAATCTGTCCGACCCTATTAGGGCCAACACTAAAGGTCACTCTGGCCAAGGGTCACTCTTACGTGTAGCCGAAGAAATGCATGAAACACTGCGTTGTGGCGGACTCGCACGTCCGACTCGTGCTCCCAGCACAGCCGCCGGCAGGCCTCGTCACCGCTGTCGCGCTCCACGTTGTGTAACTGTTTAACAGGAGGCGGGCGTCGTCCGTCGTCGTCGTCAACAACATGTAGTACATTCGGCGGCTGAGGACGGCCGTGGTCACGGCGAGATCGTGACCATCCACGACCCGGGCTCCCATCGCCTCCGCGCACCTGAACATTTCTGCCATATGGGCGCACGCAGCGCAAACGAAGGCATGGAAGACGAACCGGAGCTCCCGCCACGCCTCGCGACGACCTGAAAAGCTCCCCGGCTTCCCCAAACTCAGCGCGTCCATGGTCGCGCCGCCAAGACGCCCCAGTAGCGGTTGTTGCTGCGGTGCCGCCGCGGGCGCCGCACGGAACTGCGCGAGCTCGGCCCGCGCCGCCTGGAGGCCTTGCTCCGCGGCCTGCCCGCGCTGTTGCTGCTGCTGGAGCTCCTGCACCAGTTCCTGCTGCCTGGCCCCCATGGCCTGCAACCGCTGGGCCAACTCCATCATCGTCTCTGCCGGTACGACGTTTTCGAGCGCCGAAGAAGCGCCCACCGCGCTTGCTGGGCATGCACTGCCGCAGACCGCGGGGCTACCGCAGGTCGCGGGACCCGACCAAGCGCGGGGCGAACCGCTGCCTGGTGGGCATCCCAGGCGCGGGGCTAGCCTAGAAGGATCCGAGGATTCAAACCGCAGGCTCCGCTACCATGCGCGAGTCTGAAAGTCGCGGAGGTCAACGCAGGTGGGAGGAAAGGATGAGGGCGCTCTTTCCTTCGCTCGGGTGCTTGAGCCAAGCAATCACGGACACGATAGCTTGCACCGCGCTGCTCTACTATGCTTCGCATTGGGCTGCAATCGCTCCAGATCTAGGCGGTGTAGTTCACCAACGCAGTTGGATAAGCTTTGGCAAAGACGATGAGCCCTTTCGCTGAAGGCCCTAGACCCCATGGAGATACCCAAGACGAAGACGGTGAGAGTACCCTTCCAAGGAAAGGGTTGTCCCTTACCCTCGTGCCAGCTGTCTGGCCACGGGACCATGAACCTTCTTTCCAAGTCCAGAGCACGTCGAAGGACCGTCGGGCCAACACATGTCCAGCTCTTCCCATCACCCGACCCGCGGCAGGCCGATCGGGCCTTCGTCTCCACCATTCCGCAGGGCGCCAACCGAAGTAGGAAGGAACTATACAGTATGCGCTCACGAGGGACGAGAAGAGGGACAAACAAATAGTCGTACTAGAATGTCGCCGCAACACTGTCGTGCGCTCGGTGTCCTCCCTATCCTCCCTCGCCCAAATCCAACCACGCCTTCCTGCTCTGCCATCCTCATCCTCCTTGTGCGCCGATCTTTGAGAGCGGGAGAACCACCTGCCCAATGACCGCCCCCCAAAACGGAGCCTTTTTGTACACAGGCACGCAGAAGAAGAATCAAACAGGGGCTGTTCAGTAAAAGGCCAGGACAACCCAGTAGACGCCAAGTGCGGGGTTCCAAGGTGGTTCTTTCTCTGACGAGATCTGGCTGCCCGCGGCAACGTTGCGCGGCGTCAGCCTGCGCCACGATCCGCTCGGGTTCCGCCACGTCGGCGCGCTTACTTCGCCTGCCCTCTCCGCGTCGCTTGCAGGTGTGATCAGTCAGTACCGAATCGGGAAATCGAATCGGATTGGAATGTGCGTCGGATCGGGATGCATCGTCACGGACTTGGAATCGAATCGGATCGGCCACGGCAAGATGCCCAACACGTCCATACAAACATCGGGCCGCATCGGACCCTCGGAACATCGGCGAAAGCAGGAAGACGGTCAGCAGAAACTCCCTGAACGAAGGCATACACGGAGAGGGAAAAGAAGACATGATAGCAAAACTCCTGGCTAAGAGAGATCGAGATGGACAGGCAGTCCCTACACTCAGACGGCAAACAACATTCCGCACTGCCCTTCGCCCTCTCGCCGCGTCCGTCTCTCGGTCTCCTCCTCCTCGTCCTCCATCTTCAGGAACGTCATCGGATTCGTGTGCGGCAGGTTCGTGCCGTGCCGACGCGGGCATTGGCTTCCAACACCGCAAGGATCGTGCAGACTGGAACGATCCCGGCGCTCCGATGCCGCAGGTCCTTCGACAGGCTCCGGACGCCAGTGGTGCTCCATCCTGAGCGGCCCGCTCCAGGGCCGCCGCCGCGTCGACGCGGCACGAGCCTGCCGCAGCCGCCGAGCCGTGCACGGTGGTGGCTCTTGGCGGGCCGCCGAGCTGGTGACAACAACGGCCCGCGTGCACGGGGAGCCTCGATGGGCTGGGTGCCCCGAGGGAGCCGGCAACGGCCCACGGGCCCCGTCGGGCGTGCTCTCGGCGGGGGGCCAGGGGACGTGAGCAGGAGAAAATCTTCTCTGAAGGCGGCGGAACTTCTCAAAAGCGCTCCGGCCTTCTGAGACATCTTCCGTGTCTTCGGGGAAAGCTCAAAAAACATTTCGGAAGGCCGGGGGGGACTTCCGAGACTTCTGAGAAGGCCTTCTCTTCCTCACTTCCCCCCTCGCTCGCCGCCGATGTTCGGTTCTTGAGAGCCGCGTGCTTCCAGGAGCACGGGCGCGGCGTTTGCCCATTTCCATTCCAGTCCTGCCGTGGTCGCGTTGGAGATGCAGGGCGGCGCTGGCTGCCAGAGGTCGGTTGAGTCGGCTCGTGGTTCTCACGGGGTGCGCCCTGCGCGGCGTGCCCAGTGATGGCGCTGCGCCGCCCAGCGAACTCATCGTGATGGGGTAGAGAGACAAATAGAGAGAGAGGGAGAGAGAGAGAGGGGAAAAGGAGGGAGAGGAAGGGGGAGAGACAGGGACGGAGCGAGAGACAGAGACAGAGAGAGGGAAAGAGAGAGAGAGAGAGAGAGAGCGAGATTATGGGATTACGGGATATGGCATCTACTCCAAGCGTAGAGAGGCAGAGAGAGAGAGCGAGAAAGAGAGAGAGAGAGAGAGAGAGCGAGAGATACCCACACGCACAGACTCATTTCCCAGCACTTTCATCATCGGCCTGGCTCGTGCTGGTCTACCTACGTATCTACATAGTTACATCCGAGGCGCTGTGAAAGCACCTTGTCACAAGATCGGCCACGCCCAACGGTGGAAATCACCGTCCCCACGCGGGCAGCCAAACGAAAGCCGATGAAGACGGCGCCCGGACTCGTCCGCCTCCACACTCTCCTCCTCGTCCTGCCCCGTCTCGCTCGTGCCTCCTGCCTTCCCAACTGACGGGGGGTCATAGGGGCTGTGTGCACGATGGCCCCGCCAACGGAGAGAGGACAGGCAACGGCACCAGTGAAACAGGTCCACCCTGCCTCGGTGGTGCAGGCGCGCCATTCGGGGCAGCCTGGAAAATCCAGCGCTCCCACGAACTGATTGAACGTGTGAGTGCTCTGCTGGGGCACCGATGCCCGCTGCATGCTTGAGCGTGCTCCTCCTCCTCCTTCTCCTCCTCCTCCTCCTCCTCCTCCTCCTCCTCCTCCTCCTCCTCATCATCATCATCATCATCATCATCATCATCATCATCATCATCATCATCATCATCATCATCATCATCATCCCCATCCTCATCCCCATCCTTCCCCATCCTCATCCTCATGCTCATTCTCATCGTCATCGTCCTCGTCCTCATCACCATCACCATCACCAACACCATCAATATCACCAGCATCATCATCATCATCATCACCACCATCATCATCATCATCATCATCATCATCATCAGCATCATCATTGTCATCATCATCATCATCATCATCATCATCATCGTCATCGTCATCATCATCATCATCATCATCATCATCATCATCATCATCATCATCATTACCATCATCACCATCAGCATCATCAGCATCATCATCATCACCATCACCACCATCATCATCGGCAGCAGCATCATCATCCTAACCATCAGCATACTCATCATGCTCATCATCATCATTCTCATCAGCATCATCATCATAAGCATCGTCGTCGTCATCATCATCATCGGCATCATCATCACGCTCCTCCTTCGCCGAGAGACCCAATTCTGCTTCATGCTACATATCGCACGGGGCGCGAAAGGGTCGCTTGAGCATTCCAGTCGAAAACTCCTAACGTGAAAACAACGGCTGACGTGGCCTGGCACCTGGTGCGGCGCCAAATGACCACCCCTCAGACAATGCAGCGACTACACGATGCGCAACGAAAAAATGCGACGCCAGTATGGGACTGAGGCCCGCAAGCAACGAAACATCGGAGGCACCACTGAATCTGAGGCAAAGAGGCAACGCCTTGCTGACTGGCGGCGCCAAACAAAAAACGCTTCGATTCGCGTTGCGCCAGCGAGCTGCGACCGCACCAGAAGTCAGTGGGGCCAGCGCGGCAGACCGCAACCTGCCGAACGTTGAAGCAAAGATCACGCGGTGTCCTCAGGGGTACGGGGGAAGGGAGGGGAGGGGGAGGGGGAGGAGGAGGAGGAGGAGGAGGAGGAGGAGGAGGAGGAGGAGGAGGAGGAGGAGGAGGAGGAGGAGGAGGAGGAGGGAGGGGGGAGGAACGGAGGAATTGCTCCACATACCTCAATCCAGTCCAGGGCAACGGTGGGCCAGAGGTACTTCGAGGCCACTCTCAGGGCGACCGCCGCCCCTCCGTCGGCAGGAAAACGTGCCGACCTGCGATGGCGTCGCTGCCAAGCCCCAGGCAGTCGAGAACAACGGTCACGCTGGCGGTCCTGCTCAGGCCGTGGTCCAACTGAGTGGCGGAGGTCAGGTCCATCACCGTCTTGAACACGTCCCCGTCGTAGTGCGACAACCCGTCAAATGCGGCCGCGTCCCCAGTGGCAGCAGTGGCGGGGGGCGTCAGTTGGCGGCAGCGGATCGCTGCCGCGAGCACCTTCCACTCGGCCTCGCACTGTTCTCGCCCCGCCGGCGGCACCTCCGGTGCAACGCATCTCCTGCCCTCCATGCTGCCCTCGTGATGCTGGACCTCTGGGTGCGCCGAAGTGGGGGAGCAGGAGGATGGGAGTCAGCGCACGTGGCCCGCGGCATGTGCGCGGACGCCCGGGGGGGCAGAGGGCGCATCGAAAGGTAAAGGAGGGGGGCATGCCATCTGGAAGATGCCATGACCCAGGCCATGATATCCACACACACACAGCACACACAACACACAGACTCACAACACACAATACACACAGCAAACACAACACACAGACACACAACACAACACACAACACACAACACACACAACACAACACACACACAACACACACACAACATGCACAACACGTGGTAGCGGCCTCGCGCGTAGCGACGAGGCAGAGCAAGTGCAAGCAAGCGGACGGGCAGGAACGGGCCGTCAAGCAGGATCGCTGTGGATCGCCGCACTAGCAGCCATAGTCGCACACACACGCACCAGGAACGCATCGAAAGAACAATAGGCATGAAACCTGGAACATGCAACGTCGGCGGCAATGATATCGGCACGTTCCCGGCACCAGAGACACGGGTCTTGAAGAAAACGCTTCCTGGAACCTGGAGCCTTCCCCCAGGACCGGATCTTCGCACCGATCTGTGCTTGAAGGAGGGCCGTTGAAGAAACCGGGCTAAATCACCCGATTACTAGCTCACCCGAGACGTGAACTCACCCCATCTTTCACTCACATGCGTTTAACTCACCGAGTCTTTCAGTCACCCGGTCTAATTTACCCGCTCCTTAACTCACCTCGTGTACTTTACCCGACTCTGAAAGCCTGCTTTTTAATTTTCTGGGTTAGCGGCCGCCATCGGGCCCGCCACCCCCCGCCAAGGATGACGTCACGTTGCGCGCCGACGGCATCCGAAAATGCCTAAGGATGACGGAGGACGGGTAGCAGCAACATGTAGGTGGCGATCTGCACCACAGCACCTGAGTACAACACAATGCTCGCGCGCACCACAGCGCGCGCGTACACCACAGCGCCTGCGTACACCGCAACAGCCGTGTGCAGCGCAGCGCCTGTGTACACCAGTGCTTGCGTGCACCACAGCGCCTGTCTACAACACAGCGAATGTGTACACCGCAACAACCATGTGCAACACAGCGCCTGTGTACACAAAAGAGCTTCTGTGCACCGCAGCGCCAGTGCACACCACAGCGCTTGCGTACACCACAGCATCCGCGTGCAACGCAGAGCTGGTGTACACCACAGTGGCTACATGCACATGACAAGTAGAAGGAGCATGTAGGTGAGGATCTGCTGACCAGCCAAACACCACACCAGGAGAGTGCTGATAATATAATGCGATGTTCTCCCCTCCTCCCTCTTCATCCACCTCGCCAGGCCTGCGCTGCATCTACAAAACGCAGCCCCGCCGTAACTAGACCTTTTTTGGTCCACTGCCACAAGCGCCATCTCAGAAGCCTGTTTTCCGCCCAGGCCGTCTCGCTCAGTTCGCATGGCAATGACAGTGTCTCGGAGCCTGCTGGCTTCACAGAGCTCAGGTCAGATCAGATCCTCCTCCTCCTCCTCATCCTCCTCCTCTCAGTCCTCCTCCTCCTCCTCCTCCCTCACCCTTCCCCCCGTCGTGCGGGTCGGCGCTACAGCGCACGTGCGCATCTCAGTGCGCACCGCAAAATAGTTGATTGAATCAATCGGCTTGGTTATCGGACGGCCAATTCTGCGGGAGCCTCCTGCACTCAGACGGGAGGAAAGAGGATGATGCGGGAGGACTGGGGTGGACTCTGGAGGACTCGTAGATTGCAGCGGCGCACCTTTTTCCATAAGGATGTCTTGCCAAAGCCTATGTAAAACACATGTTTTCTGTGGAATCCACGGGCACTCCATTTTGTCAGAAGGTTTCCTGCTAAAATTGTATATGCAAGAATGATGCCCTGGTGCACACGGTTGCTGTTGTGGTGCACACAGGCGCCGCGGTGTACACAGGCGCTGTGGTGCACGCAGGCACTGTGGTGTACACTGGTCCTGTGTTGCGCACGGTTGATGTGGTGTACGCAGGCGCTATAGTGTACACAAGCGCTGTGGTGCACGCAGGCACTGTGGCACACATTGGCGCTGCACAGCACGCGGCTGCTGTGGTGTACAGAGGTGGTGGGTGTGGTGTTCACAGGAGCTGTCGTACACGCAGGCATTGTGGTGTACACAGGTGCTGTGGTGCAGATCGCCACCTACATGCTACTGCTACCTGTCCTCGGTCGTTCCTAAGCATTCCCAGACGCTGCCGGCGCGAAACGTAACGGCATCGGTCCCCTCCCTCCCCCCCCAAATGACAGCCGTCATCGGCCTGGGAAAAAACATGCTTTAATTGAGCGTTTTCTTGTTCGCGTTTTGACATTGGGCGACAAAGGCTCTGTAGGGGGGGGGGGGGCTCCAGACCTCTGCTTAATGCAACTGTTTGCAGCAGTGCGTCCTATGGGGGAGGCTCCACCTGCTTGAAACAGGCGCCAATCTACTCCATGGGGGAGGGGGAGGGGATGCGAGGGCCCGCGCCGATCGGCAAACAATGAATAAGAAAACGAACACTGACTCACCCGGTGTTTAATTCACCCGGCGCCTAACTCGCCCACTGCTTAATTCACCTGGTTGTTTAACTCAACCGGTGCCCACCTTACCTGACGCCTGATTCACCGGGTGCCTAATTCACCCGGGCCTAATTCACCGGGTGCCAAAGTCACTCGGCGCCTAATTCGCCTAGTTCACCTGGTCTCGAACTCACCAGGTCGCTAACTCACCCGACCGCTGACTCACCTGGTGCGTAACTCCCCCGATACCTAACTCACTCGGTGCCTAATTCACCTGGTGCCTAGCTCTGACGGTCGCTAACTCACCTGGTCGCAAGCTCAGCTGGTCCTTTGCTCACCCGGTGACTAACCCACCTTGTGCCTCACTCACTCAGTGCCTCCTTCACCAAACGCTGAACTCACCTGGTGTCCAACGCCCCCGTCACCTCCCTCATCCTACGCCTCACTTACCCGGCGCTCCACTCACCCAGCCCTTAACCGCCCAGCGCCTAGCTCACCCAGCGCCTGACTCACCCGGCGCCTGCGCCTAACTCGCCAAGCGCCTCACTCTCCCGCTGCCCGACTCTCTCGGCACTTAGCTTACCTGGCGCTGACTCGACTCGCCCAGCGCCTACCTCACCTGGCGCTTGACTCACCGGGCGCGTAACGCCCAACCCAAGCTAAGACCAACATCTTCAGCGTCTTCCCCCTCGACCTCCTCCTCCTCCCCCTCCTCGTCCGCCTCTTCGTCGTCGTCCTCCTCCTCCTCCTTCCTGACTCATCCACCTCCTCCTCTTCCTCCTCCTCTCCCCCCTCCTCCTTGTAATCCTTCCCCTCGTCCTCCTGCTCCTCCTCTTGGTCCTTTGTCCTGCTAAGCACAGGCGCGCGCAAGGAGTGCCGAAGTCAAAAAGCGGGGGCGGTGGCGGCGACAACGACGACACCGACAACGACGCGAGCTAAAGGAAGAAAGAGGAGGAAGAGGGAGAGAATGGGAGATATACTCAGTTTCTGCGGTGCCTCCACAGGGCGGCGGAGGCACGGGTCGGCGGCGTCGACGACGCCGACGCCGACGGCGACACGCTGACAGGAAGAAAGTGAGACAGGATGAGAGGACGGGAGAGAGAGAGAGAGAGAAACAAGAAAGTCGCTGCTCACCCCGCTCACCTCGCACCCACATCACCATGCCAAACACACCCACATCGGAACTCACATGGCGCGGAAGTCGTCCACCGCATAACTCGCGGCAAAAACGCTACAACACGCCACTGTTTTTGAGAACGTGCTAACCCAGGACTGCGAAACACATGCCGGCTCGCACACGGACGGGACGCGAACCCCAGCGACTCGAAAACAACGCTGCGGAATATACAACCTCATTGGCACAAGAACAGGAAGCGTTACAAAGCGCCGCTGCTGTGGAAAGCATCCCGAGCCCATGCTGAACAAGGAATAACGCACTGACACGGGTATGATACGCGCTACAAGACGCCGCGAGCTGAGAAGAAAGAGCGGGAAGGGAAGGAGGAGAGGACGGAAAAAAAGAGAACGGCGAGAGAGTCACTGCACACCCCGCTCACCCAGTACGCGCGTCCCCGTGCCAAGCACAACCGGGTCTGAACTCACGCCGAACTCACCCGGCCGCACTCAACTGGCGCGGAAGTCACCCACCGCCGAATTCACTCAACGCATCGGCGGGGACGCCGTCTGACACCCGTGGAAGAGGCGCTACCAAAATGCCGCTGTGTGCCAACCCAGGACCGAGAAGAAATTGATGGCTAACACAAGAAGAAACGCGCTAGAAAGTGCCGCCCTTGCGAAGAAGAGCCCAGGCGATTGGAAGACGACGCTGCCGAAGATACGCCTTCACTGACACAAGAAAGCGAGGCGCTACAAACGCCCCGAACACGCGCTGAACAAGGAATTCTTCACGCTTCGCGTACACCCAGCAGCGTCCGTAGCCTCTGGCTCAAGCCGTTTCTGGGCCCCGGTCCCTCGGCCGGGTCTCCCAGCTCAAGGGGTTTCCCCTAGGAGTCTTTTTGCCGCGCGTCTCCCCCGGGGCCGAACCGCCATTGCAGACTCCCTGGATTCCTCGTCTTCGGCTACGTGTGCGGCCCTCCAGCTTAGCATGGACGGGCGATCGATCGGCGATGATCCTGCCATCCATGTGGCGACCAGGACCGCGTCACCAGTCGTCGACCTTGGGGCCTGTGGACTGGCTGACTCAAGACGTCCTAGCCCTGGATCTCAGGACACCATCCCGCCAGGGCAGCCGTCGCCCCCTGCTCCCTGGAGTGGGAACGCTTCTGCCGATGCCTCATGCGCACGAGAACCGTTGGCCCTCAGCCAAACGGAAGGAGGGGTTGAGGCTCTCAACCCTGCGATGCACACTGGTATTGCGACCTTCAGTCGCTTCCCTGGATTTGAGAGCGGCAGGCACGAAGCGGTAGGAGGGGTTGATGCGCTCAGCC